TTCTCTGCACAGGCTAAAATCTAATGATAGTTTATAAGTCATACAGGCCAGTTCAATAGTGATACCTCTTCACAGGACCAGTACTAAAGTAGGCAAGTCTACATTTTCCTAATGACAAATCTCTGCTTCTGTATTTACAGAACTTCTAGGTTAGGATACCCCCCCTTGGCCTCCCCCAACCCAACCCAATGTAGAGATTATGTGGAAACCCATTAGCCAACCAAGCTGTTGTATACTTACAAGCAGCTCTCACAGTGGGTTTGAAAGGGAGCATGAGGAGAATTAGAAGTACTGTATTTTGTTACATAAAACAATGTACTGTCTCCTGCACCATTAAGAAGAATTACAAGATTTTGTCATCTTTTGATGACTCATTGAGAGCATGGGGAATAGTTCATGTGTTTGTTAAATGAAAATCGTATGTAGCTATTTGTGTGTCCGTTCCACTTTATAACCAGAAAAACATGATTGTGAATTTTTTAAACAAAGTGATATTTTAAACATGGGTAAATTTCAGTGTATGCTTACCAGTTTACTATTTGGTTTTATCTTCAGGTACAGGTAGTTTGTGGTACTACTGAAAATACCTTTAATATTATTATTTTGATCAGAATTTGTAATATATAATCTGTATGGGATGATGAATAAAGTCTTTTTAATCACATGAGATATTTGTGTTTATTCTTGAAGTTTGCAGTAGATATTGTTACAGCCACTAACATTCATAAGCAACCTGGCAAAATAGTCCATCTTGCCACCGGTATATATTTCTAAAACTAAGGTAAAATGAAGTCATTTGGGTGGACCCTAATCGAATATGACCAAGTCCCATAAGAAGAGATTGGAATACAGAGAGGCACAGTGGGAACACTATGTGAAGATTAGAGAGAAGGTGGCCATCTACAAGTCAAGGAGAGAGGCCCGCAGAAGAAACCAACCCTACCAACACCTTGATCTTGGACTTCTAGCCTACAGAACTGTGAGAAAATAAATGTCTGTTTTAAGCCACCCAGTCTTCATTAGGCAGCCCTTGATTAATGCAGTAATCAAGACAGTGTGGTATTGGTAAAGAGATAGACACATAGATCACCTGAAGAGAATAAAGAACCCAGAAATTGATACACAAATGTGCTCACCAGGATTGTTGATCAAAGAGCAAAAGCAATTCAGTGGAGGCAAGGATAGCCATCTCAACAACAATAACAAAAATAACCTCAACTTGAAATTCATACTTTATACAAAAATGAACTCAGGTATAATGTACTAAAATGTAAAACTACGAAACTTTCAGGAAAAAAAATAAAATCTTAATGACCTAGGACTAGGCAGAGCTCTTTCTTAAGACTTGATACCAAAAGCACAATTCATAAAAGGAAAAATTAATAAGTTGGACTTCATCAAAATTAAAATTTGCAGCTCTGTAAAAGCCTACCAGAAAAGGATGGAAAGTCAAGCTACAGACTAGGAGAAAACATTTGCAAACAACATGTCTGACAAAAGACTAGCATCTAGAATATATAAAGAACCTGAACCCTCAACAGCTTAGAAAAATCCAATTAGAAAATGGGCAAAAGACATGAATAGACATTTCCCTGGAAAAGACCTACAGGTGACACGCACGCTAAAAAGATGTTCAGCATCATTAACCAAGCAGTCAAAAGCAGTAGCCAAAGCAATCCTGAGAAAGAAGAACAAAGCTGGAGGCATTACACTTGCTGGTTTTACACTAAATTATAGTGCTATACTAATCAATACAGTACTAGCATAAAAACAGACACATAGACCAATGGAACAGAATTGAAAGCCTAGAAATAAACCCCTGCATAAACAGTCAACTAATATTTGACGAAGGAGCCAAGAATACTGAACAGAGGAAATACAGTCTCTTTAATGGGCTGGATGGAGTGCCTGGGTGACTCAGTTAAGCGTCCGACTTCTGCTCAGGTCTTGATCTCCCAGTCCGTGAGTTTGAGCCCTGTGTGGAGCTCTGTGCTGATAGCTCAGAGCCTGAAGCCTGCTTCAGATTCTGTGTCTGCCTCTCTCTGCCCCTTCCCTGCTCACACTCTGTCTCCCTCTCTCAAAAATAAACATTAAAAAAATTAAAAAATAAATAAAAATAAATAAGTTTGGATATTCACATGCAAAAGAATGAAACTAGACTTCTATCTTACACCACTCACAAAAATTAACTCAAAATGTATTTGCATAAATGTGAGGCTTGAAACCATAAAACACCTAGAAGAAAGTGGGGAGAAAAAGTTCCTTGACATTGCTCTTGTCAATGATTTTTGGATATGTCACAAGAAGCACCAAATGCAACAAAAGTGAAAGTAAACAAGTGGGACTACATCAAGGTTAGAAGCCTCCACAAAGGAAAGGAAACTACAATGAAAAATAACCTATAGAGTGGGAATAAATATTTGTAAACAATATATCTGATAAGAGGTTAATAGGCAAAATACATAAGGAACTCCTACAACTCAATAGCAAAAAGTAGCATAATCCAGTTAAAAGTAGGCAAGGAAACCGAATAGACATTTTTCCAAAAGAGATACTCAAGTGGCCAAAAGGTACATGAAAAGGTGGTCAACATCACTAATCATCAGGAAAATGCAAATCAAAACCTCACATCTGTTAGAATGGCTGTTACCAAAAAGAAAAGAGCCAAAAAGTGCTGATGAGAATGTGCAGAAAAGGGAACACATACGCACTGCTGGTGGGAATGTAAATTGGTGCAGCCACTAGGAAAATGGGATGAAGCTTCCTCAGAATATTAGAAATAGAGCTACCATACAATCCAGCAGTTCCACTTCTGGATGTTTATCTGAAGGAAATGAAATCATTATGGCAAAAAGATTTCTGCATCTTCTGTACATTGTAGCTTTACTTACAATAGCCAAGATATGGAAACAACCTAAGTATCCATCAAGGTATGAATGGATAAGAGGATGTGGTATATATAGAGAGACAATGGAATATTATTTAGCCACAAGAAAGAAGGAAATCCTGCCATTTGTGGCAACATAAGTGAACCTTGAAGGCATTATGTTAAACGAAGTATCAGAGAAAGACAACTACTGTATGATCTTGTTTGTATGTAGAATCTAGAAAAACAAAACTCATAAACAGAGAAGAGATTGGTGGTTGCCAGAGAAAGAGGGTAGGGACAAGGATAATTGGGTGAAGGTGGACAAAAGGTACAAACTCCTAGTTATGAGATAAGTTCTTGGGATATAATGCACAGCATAATGAGTCCAGTTAACAATACTATATTGTATATTTGAAAGTTGCTAAGAGAACCGATGTTAAAAGTTCTCATCACGAGGGGCGCCTGGGTGGCGCAGTCGGTTAAGCGTCCGACTTCAGCCAGGTCACGATCTCGCGGTCCGTGAGTTCGAGCCCCGCGTCAGGCTCTGGGCTGATGGCTCGGAGCCTGGAGCCTGTTTCCGATTCTGTGTCTCCCTCTCTCTCTGCCCCTCCCCCGTTCATGCTCTGTCTCTCTCTGTCCCAAAAATAAATTAAAAAAACGTTGAAAAAAAAAAAAAAGTTCTCATCACGAGAAAACAAAACCTTGAGCCACGTGAGGTGATGGATATTAACTAAACTTGTCATCATTTCACAATACATATCATCTATCATATATTATGTTGTACACCTTAAACTCAAACAGTGTTATAGGTCAATTACATCTCAATAAACCTGGGGCAGATGTTGCCATTTCTGTTTGTCATAATTTTTTCCATGAACACCTCATGAGCTATTACTGAAGCAAATATTAACAAACCAGTCCTTGCTCTGCTGATAATTAGAAACCATCTTCTGTGCTGTCACTGGTATGAGAAGTGACTTCGGTCAGAGCTTGCAGGTGTTTCAGCCTGTGCCCCAGCTCTGCTTCGTCACACTTTGTGTCTGGGGCTCTTATCTTTTTCTTTCTACACAAAAATGCAAAGTCTGCTGAATTTCAGCATTTTCCTCTTCCGAAATGTATACTTTTCCAGAATCTTGTGGAAATGCCCATCTTTACTAAAAGTTACTACTGCTTCTATTACTAACCTAAATTTACACCTTTGCTGTTTAAGAAAGTTTCCCTATGACTGTTCTTCTCCCCTCCATGTAACATACCCAACCTTCATATAAACTGCTGACCCAAGGTGCTAAGTGTACCAGCATTTTCTGAAGGGAGTAAAAGTTATCATTGTTAATAGAGGTCTAAGAGAGCTATAATACTGATTATTAATATAACTTTTTAAAAATATGTTCAGCATCATTAACCATCAGGGAAATGCAAATTACAACCACAATGAGGTATCCACTGCACACCTGTTAGAATGGCTAAAATTTTAAATCATGGTAACACCGAATCCTATAGTTGTCTCTAATATGGTTTTCTTTTTGGATGTGTACTGTACCTTATTGTTTGTACTATGATTTTCCTAGAGAATGTCCTTCCACATTTTACAAAAATTAATAATATATAAATAACATTCTTTGTTAAAGATTTAAAGGAATAATCTTGTCACAGTTTTTAGAAGACAGATTTTTAGGTTTTTTGCTTTTTCTCCTTCCTTTCCTCCAATTCTTCTTTGATTTGCTCTGTAAATTTAGTAATCCTCTTTAAAACTTATTTTCTCACTTATTACTCATTTGTATCCTTTATAGTTGACCATTCCCAAATTTGATTTAGCAGCAAGAGCCCTTTAGCAGCTGGTATCATTATTCTTAGGCTTCTGTAGGTTTAATTAATTTCATATTTATCATCAGGTTTTTTTCCTCATCTAAAACTCCTAGATTCAATCTTTCCCTCTAGTTTCAATAATTTGGAGAAAATTTTCTAGTGAATGAATATTGCAGGAAGGGTAATTGGGTGACTAATTTTCTGAACCTATATTACCACCATAGTCTGTCAGCTCTCTTAGAAGAATGATAGTTGGAGGGTGTACGAGTTTGTTTTGGAGCTTAAACTGTGCAAACCTCTAATCCAACCACATCCTGTTTAACAGAAAAACCAAAGGGTGACTTCACAGACCAAGGGAAAGCCTTTGCTTTTAGGAAGCTGGCCTCGCCTCGTGTCATGCCGGTTATTCACCATAAGCTGTCTTTCCTCCATATCCTGTTGGAAGACGAGAACATGTGTACCAGTACTGTCCAAATAGAGCATCCGGTGATGCTGGGAATGATCTCTGTCTGCACTGTCCAGTGCAGTAGCCACTAGCCACATGTGAGTATTGAGCACTTGAAATGTGGCAAATATAACCAAGAAACGGAATGTTTAATTTTTTTAAAAAAAATTTTTTTCAACGTTTATTTATTTTGGGGGGACAGAGAGAAACAGAGCATGAACGGAGGAGGGGCAGAGAGAGAGGGAGACACAGAATCAGAAACAGGCTCCAGGCTCTGAGCATTCAGCCCAGAGCCTGACGCGGGGCTCGAACTCACGGACTGCGAGATCGTGACCTGGCTGAAGTCGGACGCTTAACCGACTGTGCCACCCAGGCGCCCCAAATTTTAATTAAATTAAATAACATCATGTAGTCAGTAGCTAGCAATATTGGATAATGCACATTGAGAGCGTTTGATGAGACCAACAAGGGCTTAGGAGTTGTACAAATTGAGACTCAAATCCAGGAGCACCACTTTCTAGTTTTGTGATCGTGGGCTAGTTATTTAACTTCTGAGTTCCAATTTTTTTCCAACTAATGGGGCTGAAGTTAATACCTAACCTCTAAGGGTTAGTATAAGAAATACAGGGGGGCACCTGGGTGGTTCAGACTTCGGTACAGTTCTGCTGTCAGCACAAAGCCCACTTCAGATCCTCTGTCCCCCCCTCTCTCTGCCCTCTCCCCTACTTGGCGCTCTCTCTCTGTCTCTTTCAAAATAAATAAATAAGTAAATGTAAAAAAAGAAAAAGAAATATAGGAAATCTACAGCTTCTGGTAGATGTTCAATAATGATAGATATTGGTAATATTATTATCTTGCTTTTATTTCTACTTTTGCAAAAAATCCTATGAACATATTTTCCTAAAAAACCCAAGGAATAATTTTTCTGTGAGATTAGATATTTAAGAGTTCTCCTGGTAGAGGGCCCTCTCCTGAGATCTGGTGATAACAAATGACCCTGATCTCAAAGGCACAGGTACATGCTTTGTCTTCTAGGGAGACAGGACATGGGATTAAAACAATACTTAACAGAATTGAGTCTGAAAGACCAAGCTTAGAAAAAGGGACCAAAGGTCCCAGACTTTGTGGAAGGCAGCCTGAGCATCCAAAGCTAGAAAAAGCTCTAGGAAGGAGGGCAGGGGAGGGACAGTGAGGTGCAGCTGGATCTTAAGACTTAATGAACAGAAAATTTGCATGAAGAAAGGGAAGAAAGCATTTCTGAAGAAAGGAAGTCAATAAAATCACAGAATGGGCTTTATAGGACACTACATAACACTGCCTGGCTGTAGTCTATGGCCATACTACCCTGAAAGCTCCCAGTCTCATCTGGTCTCAGAAGACCACCTGGCTATGTATGGATAAATAGTTTAAAGAAATACAACTAGAAAAGTGGACAAGCTGCAGACTGGGGTGGGAGGGGGCCCTGAATATCCTGCTGTGAAGTTTGGATAAGAGAAAGTGTAGAAACGATATTTGAATAAGAACATGATGTCTTTAATAAACACTCCTGGCTAAATTACTCCTCACAGGTACTGTGCTGAGAACTGAGGTTCATTTGTTGTCTCAACAAATATTCATGAAGCACCTCCAAGGCCAGGTGGGGATTGGGGAGAATTTAGGTTCACTGAGACTGATCCCAGAAACCCTGGGATCCCTACAGTTGCAGAGACAGAGGACAGAGGCTTACCCAGGTGGACATAAGATGCCAAGTGTCTCAGGTAAGGTCACTACTAGAATTCCCAGCCATTGCCAGACACAGACACAGGGCATCCAGGGACAGGAAGTGTTTGAGGCTGAGGGGCACTTGGTATTGGTCTGGGAAATGGGGCTGCAGGCCACAGAGAAGAAGTATTATGGGACCAATGTAGGGTCTTATCCAGAGGGTTCAGGGAATTAGAGAGCCAAGACAAAAGTGTAGATAAATTGGGGCAGGAGAGTTGGTAGTGAGGTCCTGGGTTCTGGAGAAGATTTGAAAGCAATTTCTGGAAAGGGGTAAAGGAGTGAGGACACACTGGTCAGTGTTAGACCTGAGGCAGCACAATCCAGCAATGTGAGAGAAGTGGGGAAGAGGCTGGAGCCATTTCTACACCTGTTGCTTCAGCTGGAAACCAGGACCGGTTGCACTCTCCATGTGGAGACAAGTCTTAGCTATGGGAACTGGGGAAAGCAGAAGTCAGGAAAGGAGATGTGCCCAGGAGAGATGTTAAATTCTAGGTCTTAACTTGGTCCTCATTTCCCTGTTGTCTGTCTGCCTCTGGAGACTCTGGTCTCCAAAGTGGAAAGAGGAACTGTTCTAGTTGTACGACTGGGCAACTTGTGCTAACAACTGACTTTACTCTCCTTAGTTCAGGCAACTTGCAAGGAAGCCAGATCTCCACCAGCTAGGGAAGATAGATGTGCTCTTGGGTAGTGCAGAAGTATGTGTGTGGCAAGAAATCAAGGTTTCCTCTGTAGGTTTTTTATTGGTTACATTTAAAATAACATCCTCTAATTGTCCTAAGAAGCCCCAGTGGAACCTCCTGAAAACATCTGCTCAATTTGAGGTTGAGGGGTGCATCCCTCATCCCCTCGATGTATGTGTTTGGTTCGGGATTTGTCAGCCTGGGAAGCTGAGGACTCTGGGCAGCTCAGGCCTGGCAGATTTCCCCCACCTGCCTAAAATATGACCCAGGGGGGCAGAGGCCCCTTCCCAGCCCAGTCCTGTGCCTCCACTCTCCAGCCCCTGGAGCTGTGGCCTTTATTTCAAGTCTGGTCCCCAGGGGGCTGAGTGAGGAATGAGGACAGCTGATAAGCCTGGCATTATTGACTTTATGGGGAGTATTCAATGAATTTACTTTCTGCGAGAAGGCTGCACTCTTATCTGCTGCCCACAGAGCGTCCAAATCCTCATCTAGGGGACCCATTTGATGAGTCATGTTTTTTTATACAAAGACCAGAGAATATAAAGAGGAGAAGGAGAGTCCCACCCCACCTCTTTCTTTTCTCCAGTACTTGGTTCTGCTCCCCCCACCCCCACCCCCACCCTTGCTTTCCCACTGCCCTTGGGGTTATTGGCCGGAATTAGCACTCTCCGCTCCAGCCCTCAGAGTGAAGGCCAAGCCAGCCTGATCTTGAGAGTGTCAGCAGCTGGGCACACCCAGGGCTGCGCGTCCCTCTAATTGTCACTATGGGAAGAAAAGCCCACTTGCCCGAGGCAGTTATGTGCCCTGCTTTCTGCTGCAATGGTCAACATTTGCTCTGGACAGGCCTCAACACCAGGTGTCCTGATGGAGATATGTGTCTGCATGTGTGTACTGGGTGTTACTAAGAGGTCCTCGGTCTGGGGAACTGGAGAGTGGAAATTAATTCTAAGAGGGATCCTGACACTGAAGAGAGACTCTTCTTTCCCCTCCTTGATATCTCCTTCATCCAGCTCTGGGCTCTGTTTGAATCAAATAGTGGAAGGAAATGAATGCTTCTTAGCAGCACAGGACCCAAAGCAATTGGAAGGAGGGAGGTGGGAGCCAGGATGGCTGGGTTGGGCAAATGAAAGAAAAACAGGAAAATGCCCCGTGGAGGATATTAGAGGCATGTGTTCAGACTCTCAATCTAGTTTTAGAATAGAGTTTTTCCTGGTAATAAAAATGAAAACAATTATTTATTGAGCAACTATGATTTTATTAGTTGCCTGTTATCACCGTTTTTAAGAAGCATTTACTCCAAATCACTCACTGAATTTTCACAGTAAGCCATGAAGCCTCGGCTTCATGAGAATGTTTCCAATTCGTAGCTGAGAAAATTGAAGCTGGGAGACTTTGAGTAACTTGCTCAGGATGGCAACGAGTGTCAGAGCAAGGATTCAAACACCAGTCAGTCTGCCTCTGCAGCTGATCAAAGGCCTTCTCTTAGCTATTACTCACTTGGTATTTCTTAGTACTATATCCCACTTAATTCCCAGCAAATCGGTGAGTATTTGTGATTCCTATTTGTTTAGAAAACAGCCTCAGAAGGGTGAAAAAAATTTATTTTGCAATTATTTCAGGTTTTTGTTTCTTCAATAAGTAGCCAGTTTAATTGAGAAAGTGACAGAGCAGTATGGGCCTCTAAAGCAATTAATAAATTCCTCTACTTGCAATCCGGACCAGTAATCTTATCGTTGTACTTACCCCAGACAAGACACAGGATTAGACAGCAAACAGAGAAAACAGAGGAAATGAGAAAAGGCATCCAAAAGATAGTGTTACAAGAGTGCAGGAAACTTTGCAAATCTGATTGTGGATGGATCATTCAACCCCCCCCCCCCCTTCTCTATTCAAACAGGGCTTCACATTTGGATCCAGTTGAGGACCATCCCTGAGATTCAATGTTTGATGCTTCTTCAATGCAGGATGTCTGCTAACTCAACGAGGCAGGCTGTGGCCACCTTCCAAGTAAGGATAACTTTGTTTACAGAGTAATATTGTTTCTCTTCCTTGGTCAGCTAAAGTCGCCGTATGCTGCAGGGGAAAAAAAACCAATGTAAGAGGGTTTTTTCCCTCCTAAATCAATTTTTTCCTTTATTGTTCCTGTCTGTGAGTATGTCCAGGGCACAAAGCCAGTATACATCCGAGACTCTGGTCTGCAGATTCTAGCATCTTTCCTTTTCTGTCCTGACTAGGGAATGACTCAGGAGAGTCCAGAAATGACGATAAAGCAGCCAGATCTCTCTTTCCTTGTGAGAGAAGACCAAAGCTCTCACCCATCCAGCACCCTTCCCAGTGCTCCAGTAGAGATGTGGGCCGTGTCAGCTTATTTCTCCTTCCAGATGCCCTGGCTTTCTCTGTAGCCACTTGCTTTATTCCTTTTTCATTTGGAGGAGGTTAGAGGAGAGGAGGCAGGAAAAGCCTCAGAGGAGGTAAGCTAACCTCTAAGTGACTCTATGGGTCCTGTGAATGCAGTGACATTAACGTCCATGAGAATTTACAGCCTCCGCTGGCTCTGGAATGACGTTTGTCTGAGAACCACTAGTAAAACAGCTGCATGGGAAGTCTTGCTTCTTTGGGCATACTTTTTCGTATTTAACTTCTTTGGGAGCAATATTTTGTTTTGTCAAGGATGATAACTCATTATGTAACTTTATAATCAAAATATATTATTTCTCCCAATACATGAAAGAAATTGGGCGTAATACCTTGCATGACACCTAGTACTTCGTGCTAAATAATGGGGTAGAGGATTTGGCATCTGGCTCCCCTAACTGGTGCTCAGTATTACCCCCAGGTCAACCCAGCACCCTCTCTCTTGTCACAGCCTGCTAGGTAGTCTCCCCACATCTCTTCTCACCCTCTGCATACAGCAGCCAGAATACTCTTCTCTTCTTAAAAAATAAACAATCACCAAAACCTCTCCCGTGGCCTGGGAAGCATTCATTTCACAGCAACAAGCTATGTGTCTTCTGACAGAAAGCAGGGGAGGCTGGAGGCAGCCATTTGGAGAAATGAGTCCGAATGAATGCTGTCTTGCATTCATTCAACAAATGTCTTATCAAGCAGCTTTCATGGGCAGTGAACACAGCTTGTGGGGTTTAGCGAGTGACAAAGTTAAGTCCTTGCCCTCTTGACACTTAGTGTACAGCAGGCAAGCCAATAAGCAAGTAAACTAGAATGAGATTTGCCGTGGAGAATTCATCATGGCGATGGTGCCCCTTTAACAAACCAGGGTGGCAAAGGAATTTCAATTTGCCAAATAAAGTTTCACAGAAAGATAAAACCTGTGGCCGAGAGTCACACCCACACAATGACAAATTCACTGTAAAAGAATGGACACTGTTTTCTTTTGAGAATGCAGGGTAGGATGTAATAATATAAAATTCATGACGAAAAGCAAGGCAAAGAGGGCCGTTTCACATCGATATGGGGTACAGTTCTCTAAATCAATAAAACCTTCATGAGTCTTCATGTGTCAAATGCACCATATCTTAAAATATAAAGATCTAAAGCAAATACTCCTGGACAAACCGAAAGGGAGGAACAAACATGAAATAGTAGAGGGAGATTTTCATATAACCCTGTCAAATAGATTAAAATAGACCAAAACTCCCCAGAAGAATGCAAAGGAGTGATTTAGTGGATGTGTATAAAGACATTTTATTTTTCAAACAGAGCTATACCTTTACAGCTTATGGATTATTTGTAACAGTTGATCATCTATTTTACCAAAGAGAAGCTCTCAATAAATATCCCAAAGCAAAAAAATGTATGGAGCATATCTTTGACTACACCACAATAACATTTGAAATTAATAGCAAATGGCTAACCAAAAGTACAACAACAAAGAAAATTTTAAAGATTTTCTTTAAAAAAGAAAAATTAAAATAAACAACAGATGTTAGAAACTAATGACAGCGATAGCATAAATGGAAACACAGGATGACACAAAAGGTATATCAGAAGAAAAGTCATAGCCTGAAAATTAATAAAATAAGCACTCAATCTAAGAATGGGAGGTGGAGAGAGAACAAAATAAATGTAAGCAAGTGAGAAAAGCAGATTTAATAAAGGTAGAGTAGACATTAATTGTATCACAGAGGTAGTTATCAAAAAGAACAATAAAATGCATAAGCTTCTGCAAAGCTAATCAAGTAGAGAAAGAAGTCATGAGCACATAACATGAGGAATGAGAAAGGCAACACAAATACAGACATTTTTTTAAATCATTGAATATAATGTATATATATATATACACATACATATGTATATATATATATGTATATGTATATAATATATAACACTTTATTAATGATTTTGAAAATGTCAAAGTTTATATGTCAAAGTACCAAAATTGATTTAAGAGATACAACACTTGAAGGAACAAAACCCACCTAAAGGGATTTACTAGTGAATTCTATTAACTTCATTCTATTAACTTCATTAACTATGAAGAACCAGCTAATTCATGTGATGAGTAAATTGATGGGTGCATACATAATAGGTGGATGGAAGAAGGGATGGATGGATGGATGGATGGATGGATGGATGGATGGATGGATGCATGGATGCATGGATGGGTGGATGGGTGGGTGGATAGGTGGATGGATCAATGGAGAGATGGATGGTTGGATTGGGGCCTAGATATGCAGAATTGGGGATTGGGAAGGGAGCTAAGAATGAGGAGAGAGGAAAGGAGGTTTAAGACTGGATAAAGCTGATGCTTGACCTCCAGCCAAAATGACCTTGGCCCCCCAACAACCTGGGCTGACAGAAATCCCTTCTGAAAACCCCAGGTTTGGTCTTTCCTGAAGCTGACACCCCCTGCACATAGGACTAGAGGTCCAGTATTCACAGGCTAATCCAGACAGATCAATTAAGCCAGCAGAAGCAGAGAGCCTGACAATGCCCAGGCTCTCCTAGCGACCTGCCCTTCCCTCGCCAGGAGCCTGCAGGTGCAGTCTCTCCAGGGGGCAGTGAGAGCCATGAATAGTAAGGGTTTTAGCTTGAGCACACAGAGGCGTTTAGCTGCCCAAACTTAATCCTTCAATAATCGGATTATGCAAATTTCTTCTCCAACCCCTTCCCCTGGGGGACCAGGACCTAGCCCCTAACTTTCCACATTGGGAGACTGGAATGGGAGAGGGCCCATCATCTGAAGAATCACCGCTAAGTGGAACGGTGCACCAAAATTGTTTCCCAGTTTTAAAAATGATAAAAGCAACAATAACATGTAAGACATTTTTGAGAAGAGAACAGATGTCAACCCTGGTCCCCATGTGCCAGCACAGCTATGCCCTTTTCTCTGTAATCTTCGCCTTTCTGTCAGCCCTTGTCCAGTTGTACACAGATCCCACTCTATAGCTGATTGTTTCATTTTGCATCACACATTTCTGATCATGCTACCCAGTTGCCACAATTCTTTTTTTTACAACCACAGAACACGCCATTAAGCAAATACATTACCTCACAGGTTTTTGGCTAAGAGGAAAGGTAATGTAGGTTCATGCTTTAAAATACAACATGTGGTCTATGAGAATTGTGACCTAACAAGGCGTGGCAGAAAAGCACGGGCCCTGGGAGGCCTCAGTTCCCCTTCCACGTACATAAGACAGAAGGTCAGAAAGAAGACAAATTGGGAATGTTTGTTGGAAATATTAGGTTGTGTTTTTAGAGGTGCTTTTTGTGCACAAATTGACCAATTAATTCTCCCCAACTCACCCTCCAATGCACCCTTTGTGCTGCCACCAGAATGAGCTTTGTAACCTGTAAATCTAAAGATATCGCTCCAGGGGCGCCTGGGTGGCGCAGTCGGTTAAGCGTCTGACTTCAGCCAGGTCACGATCTCGCGGTCCGTGAGTTCGAGCCCCGCGTCGGGCTCTGGGCTGATGGCTCAGAGCCTGGAGCCTGTTTCCGATTCTGTGTCTCCCTCTCTCTCTGCCCCTCCCCCGTTCATGCTCTGTCTCTCTCTGTCCCAAAAATAAATAAACGTTGAAAAAAAATTTAAAAAAATAAAAAAAAAAAAATAAAGATATCGCTCCCAGTTGGCATCACAGGGACTGTCCTGTCCACCACTCCTACTGTGTAATTCCTACAGCTTTTCCCAACTTTCCAGCCAAGCAACTGGGACCCCTGCCTTGGGTCTGTGCTTTAGATGGCCCTCTACTGGCCCTCCAGTCCCCATCTGGTGCCCATTTCCCACATTCTGTGAGACTGACGCACTGCCTGCTGTGCTAAGGAGGCACCTCCATTTCCCACATTCTAGATCACACTCTGGGTATTCAGGACCCCTGGATTTCTGCTCAAATGGCCCTGAGCCCATTTCAGAGCCTGCACAGGGCTCTTTCTTGGGTCGGTGTGCACTGGGAATCCACATCATATACACAAGGCCCTTCACATAGCAGGACAGAGCTGGGCAGTGGGAAAAGAAATGAGTCAGGAGTCTCCATCTGTACCCTTGTCCTGGATCCCACAAATGTCAGAGGCAGCCTATGCCTCAGGGCTGGTTTAGATGCCATCCCTCCCACAAGCTGTCTCTGATCCTCCAGCTAGAATCTTTTGCCTCCCCAGCTCCAAGTTCGCACCCTCTGGCACTCAGGAATGTCTTGTATTTAGTCATTTTTGTCATGCCTCTCCCTCCCAAGGGCTGCGAACCCCTTGAAGCCAGATGTAGAGTTTTCTTTACCTTGTTGCCTCCTGAGAAACTAGCAATTCATGCAACAGATTTTTAAATTTATAATAATAACTGATTTTTTTTAAGGAGGGGGACAAACAACCACAAATTCTCAGTGGCTTACAACAGCAAAGATTTACTCTTCACTCATGTTACATGGGGGCTGTTGTGGTTGGTTATGGGTTTGCTCCATGGCTTCCAGGCTGAAAGAGCAACCCCCAACATAACCTTCTCATGACTGAGCCCAACCAGGAATGGCTCTTAAAGCTCCCATTCCACAAACTGAGGGTAG